GTGTAAAAAAGTATCTAGGCTCTTCGAAGAACACTTTTTGTAAAGGACTCAATGTGTGAGGAATGTTTTAAAAGTTTAATGAGACCCCACGTGATGTAAAGGTTCTATAAGGTTTTTCTTGGAACTCTATCCAAGGCACAAATCATTTAAGCACTTTTATTTTTAAAGGGGTAGAGGCAAGATAGTCTCCCCCACCCTTTACTCCAGACTTGAAAAACAAGCTACCTTGCTTGAATGATGGTTCAAATACCTCAAAGCCCTTTTAGCTCAACTTGCTATAGCTACATCCAATGATGTGGAGATGACTATGTTTTTTTTTTTCTAACGTGCCTTTTTCAAATGGAGACTTAGAACATATCTACCTAGATTCAGTCATCTGTGACAGCCTGCTGTTCAGTTTAATAGCATCTGCTCAGTGGAGTGTATGCTTGAAAAGAGTCCTTCAATGCATTGACTTCATAGTACACTAGGCTAGGACATACACACTCTTAATCTCTATGTGCTAATTAGGTATTAAATCTGGATGAAATTAAAATGTTGCTCTCTGAAGGGCTTACATCAGTTTTTACTGGATTTTACATGTTCTATAAATGCGGTTCATTGACTTTGTCTTAAAAGGCGCACTGCAAGAAATATTAAATAGTTTCAGCATAAGAAAGGTAAAGCAGTATTTTTAGGCATAATTAACTTACAAACCTGTGATAAACTTGATTCTTTTAACAACACGGCTTACTGTTAAATGTAATATCAATTGTAAGTCCTTAGAACTCATTTGTTTAATGACCTTTAGGCTAGAGTTGAGAGAATTCCTAATAAGTTTATTATGGACGTCATAATCTAGAAATCAGGAATATAATAAAGCTTAAATGTGTATTCTCCTTTTTTTAAACCACTAATGGTCCACTTATTATAGTACACCATTAAGACTGTAGCAGTTTAAGGGCCCTTAGGTATTACTGTAAACACAATCAACCAGTGTTCTAGTTGTCTGCATCTTAATCAACATGAACCAAAATCAAATTAATGTGTTAACATTACCATCTGTCAGGTGAGCATGAGGAGCGGTGAAGTCAATATATATATATATATATCCGTGTGTGTATAAGCTCCACTCTTGCTTTTATGTGTATATATATATATATATATATATATATATGTGTGTGTGTGTGTAGATCTTGATTTTATGTTTACATTTGATCTCCTATCCATTTCTGACGCCGAAAAATTAACAAAATTAACAACTCTTACTTAATGACCATTAAGGTTGGTGTGTATTTATCTAGGATAAATATTTCTTTGCGCAAAAGAAATCAGAAAGCAACATGCAATTTCTATAGAATTTTAATAGTTATTAAAATACCACTATTATTGTACAGGTATTAACTCACATAACACTGCAATGTGAAGCAAATGCGAAGCACAACACCACCAAAAAATTAAGCGCAAATACTGCTCTGCTCTGTTGACCTCAGTGGAAACAAGTGGCCGGCTAAGCATTTTCGTGCAGGTGCTCGGTATACTTTCTAATGTAATTTGAAGTATATTAGAAAGAAGGCATGTTCCAAAGTGACAGTTAACTTTGCAATCCTCTTTAAAGTCAGCATGAACCAGAAATCACAATGTATTTTTCTTCTGCAGTGTGTTTTTAAGTGAAACACAGGGGTACCAGGGAGGGTCTCTGCGCGAGCTAAACATTCGCGTGAAGACAGGTGCGTTAGTAGGTAGAGGGCAAAACATTATTAGTTAATATTATTTTTTCCTACTTGCTGCTACACAGTGATATATTCAAAACCAAAAAAGATGTTTTAGAGTCGGGCACAAGTCCCTTCACTGTAATCAACTCTGAAAAACAAACAAGAATTCTGTGAAATGTGCTTAATATGACCGGGAACAAGAACTAAAATTATTTCAGGTTCAAAAAAAGTGAAGCACATAAACCAGCTGTGACCAAAGAGGGAGCTGAGAACACATTTCACACTTTTAACTGACTAAATTCTTCTTTTTATTTGACTGCTCCTATACCTTATGTTTATTTTATAAAGATTGTTGATTGAACATTTAATTTTGTCACAACCAGTACAATAATAACTCCTCTGTAACTTTGCCAAATGTTTTGTTAGTGACTGTTTCGGTAGTTCTAGCTCATTTTGATCAGAACTCAAAAGCACTAGCCAGGACATTACTAGCAAAAAACGCTTTGAACACTTGCACAAACATAAAGTCATAATATTTCTCATTAAAACACAAAAAAGTTACTTAGGGAGCTGAAAATATGTTTTGATTGTGACAAGGTTTCCAGACTTTGGGACACATTTACTTCAAAGCAATGGGATCTAACTGCTCACCATGTGTCATAAGGGAAAGGGATGCACTCTCATTTCCTGCTCTAAAATGCAGAGGTGTGGCTAAAATAAGGCTCCACCTACAAACCAAAATGCTTTGTGTTTTGGTGGTAACATAAAAACATGGGAAAACTTTATTTAACAAGAAATTAAACACATGACATTTTAAACCATTCACATTAAAAGAACAAAAAAATGTAAATATCAATTTTGCAAGTTTAACTAAACTTGTAGGGGTTAGGTTTTGGGACAGCCTACCCCCCCAGAAGAAAGTATCTAAAAATTATGATTTTGTATATATTTAGCATATAATTATCTCAATTAATATCTTGGGTTTAAATAGATCACAACATAATCCTTGTAAATAACTAAGGATTGAAATTTATTTTTTAAATATTTTTTCTCTGGTGGGATTACAGTTGGAACTGATTCAGTAGGATGGTCCACATTTGCTCATTTTTTGTGGTAGAAGCAAAGATGGCAAATTGGAAATCTTTCAGACAGGTTGTTAAAGTCTTAGTTGAAGAGCTGTCTTTGTCATAGTAATTCTGATTTTGAGAAAAGGTAAGCGTTGACAGGCCTTGTATCTGTATATCATGCAGGTATATTTTTGTTTGATTGGTGAACTTTTCCTCCTCTGGGCCTTTTTTATTAAACCTTTTTAAAAAACAGTATATGTGAGAAAGAACTTACTACAAGATTTCTTCTTCAGGAAGACTCTCTTTGATCCTAACTACAAACAGATAACTGCGAGGCTCAGGTAAATATTGGTTGATTATGCTGTCTGTTCTTTGTTTTTTTCTGTTTGGCAGTGCTGGCACAGTCAATTTGTGTCTGTGAAGGCATCCACCTTCATTTGCTCCAATTCACCACGGGGTTTGAGCCCCCCACGCCAGCCGACAGCTTTACCACCCTACCTTCTTCAGAATGGGGTTGGCTGGTGGGGGTGCCTAAGAATCTGTTTGCGCCATGGGATTAAGGTTGCAGAAGCGAGTTTGGAATGCAATGACATTCCCCCGCTCACTGCCAACTTGGCACCCCATGGGCAAGACAGACTGAAAACAGACCAGAGGGGTTCATGCTTAATTGCACAAAGAATTGAGGGGTAAAACAACTGTGAGGGTGAGGGAAAAAACAAGCCTGCGTTTTCTTCACTGGTCTGTAGGGCAATTGATTTAAAGAGACAGGGGCTTGTGAAGACTGCTTGGACGTGGCATAAAATCACATTCTTTCCTTGCTGCAACGTAAGCTAAGGCTAAAGCTTCCATTCACGGACTGGGCACAGGAATGAGGCGGGCATGAATGTAGGAAAGTACAGAAAGAAAGCTTCACTGGAGAGAACGCAATGACTTATATGGCAGGACATCTTGAGCAAGCAGAGGATCCTGAGGGTGTTTTCATGCAAATGGGAGCAAATGGAATTTTAAAGGGAGTCATTTCAGAGCAAAGAAAAATGGTATCGTGACAGTGTGTTCACTTGATAGATGTAATTTGTTGGCTGTGTTCTTGCAGAACCTTCCCACACTGTATTAGAGAAGTAACATAGAAATGCCTTCAGCACATGTAATGTGCTTAAATGTAACTGAAAACATTCTATAAAATGATGCCAGAAAGGACCCACTTTTGGTTTTCAAGAGAACCTTTCAATGGACAGTTATTTAAAGAACCATTTTTGTAAATGAAATGCAGGTGTGAAGAACCTTTTTTACAACTTTCGACCCTCTGTATAATATAAAGGTTCTATATCAATAAAAGGTTTTTCCTAAAACCACATGAGCAAGCCAACAACTTTTATTGGTAAAGTTGCTGCATAATTAGATCTTTAAGATGTCATTCAGAGTATCCATCCCCACTCCATTCCAAAGAAACTGAATCAGAATTATTCATTGGTGGTGAATAAAACCAGATGTTTAAAGCGCACAGTAAAATTTTGTTTGTCACTTCGACCTAAAAAATTTTCCTCATGTGGTAACAACTAAATTAACTAGCTTTATTCAACTCATACTTATTATATAATTTAAATGAACCACTGTTTCAATCAAAGTATTTATTTAAGTTGAACAAAACTAGTTCAACTGATTGTTACCATACGAACTGATTTTAACTGACAAATCATTTTTACAGTGTGGTTAGCAGCCTCAAAGAAAGCTATTCCATTAAATGGTTCTGAGTACATTGCCTTGTGCCTGAGACATTGTTTTATGAAAGTTTTTGGCCTAAATTGTAGTTTTTTTAAGCCATGTAAAATATATTTAGGTTTTAGATATTGAGAACCTTGATTCCTGTCAGCACCATTATAAAGGTCAGTATGTTTCTTTACAATGGAACATTTCACATCAAACCACTCTGAATTACTTTGTTTACATTTGAACTATTCAGAAAATTTTTAAAATAGGTGAAATTCTTCTTCAAGAGTATATGGTTGGAATAACAGAAAAACAAGGACACCCGCAAGGACGGGATTGCTGTACTGTATTACACCAGATAGAGAAATCAACGATGATATTAGGTCATGGGACACGTGTTGGAGTAATGAAGTGCTTTTTTTTTTAATCACTGAAAATAAAGGTGTTCATCTTCATTGAAAGCTGAATTGCAAAAGTGAGAAAAAATAACCAAAGTAAGATATGGAAACAAAGACAGGAAGAGAGTATTTACCACTTCCCGAAGTCCCTCCGGGGCCTCCTCCGCGCTGTTCACTGTTTCAACGCTGCCTCGTCCTTCGTAGGCCTGCCAGAAAGAGGCTCCGAGCAGGATGGGGAGTGCCCAAATGCCCAGCCCGCCCATCAGTGTCAGCCTGTCACGGGGAGAAAACACACGGCACAAAGCGTCACACAGCCGTGCAGGCAGGCCCCTGCCACTCAGAGCCACAGGCAAACGCAGCTCAGACAGACAAGCGCTGTCAAAACTTATCACCACTCAACTAATTAATGCGGGCACCAGGCACTTCAATAACATTATAGAGACGGCTCTCCTCCGGCGATAATTGCTATTGCAGCTGTCCTCCATGAAACAACAAGTCGCAATTGATGAGAATGATGAAAAGGTGAGAATGTGTGTTTTTTGTCAGATATTCTTTAAAGTTGAAAGGTAGGTAAAAAAAATCAAAGAGCATAGTGATGTTGTTCAAGATAAAAACTGAAAGGTGATAAATGACTAATAGAACTCTAACTTTGACCAATGAAGACTATTTCCGCAGATTTCACCTTGTAAATGACTCAAAACTAATTTGAACAGATGCCTGCTATCAATAGAAATTAGAGAACATCAGTGAAAATTTTGCCGACATAAATGACAAAAATTTACGCCTGCAATGCTAGCTTCCACATGTTTGTTACTGAAAGCCCTAGTACCACTAGAAATTCTTTGGATTTAGTATTTATTTGCTGTGAAAGACACAGTTGTGCAGTTTTTGTGGTGCATGCAAGGTTAAATATTTTTATCTGATACCAACAAAATGATAATGGTTCAAAATAAAAGTTCTTCATTGTGACAGCCAGTGTGCAAAATGCTCCTTGGTATTTGCAGCGGTCCCATGTTAGCTGGCTACTCCGGTGCTGGCGAACTGTTAACTTACTTGCTTTAGCGGCACTGGTGCTACCTTCAATGGGACCAAAATGTTTGTTTCAATAATTCTTCTTGTGGAAATTCTCTTTTCTAGTTTGGTAATGCACTCTTTCACAGACTCATGGAGATCTTACACATCTCTTTTGTCTTCAGTTTGAGAAATGAGTAACAGCCTCTTGTGAAATCGGGCAAGTTTTTAAATTTACAAACATGCTATGACATACTATGATGTTTTTCAGAGGTATTTCCGAGCATAGTCACAGCTGCTAGGCTATGAAGGACCAACAGGGTAAACTAATTTGCTATAGCATCACCCTGAGGCACCCAGTGCTGCAGCTCTAGTTAGCTAAGAATATTAAATTCAGAAGCTCACCAATTAGGAAGTAGGATAAATAATAACCTTCCCCTGAATTAATATATTTTTCCCTAAAGGACAGTATAATAATAAATAAGTTTATTTTCAGGGAGAACATTTTGATTTTGAGACATTCTGGGGGTCCAAGAAATAATTAGGCAGTCCCAGACCCCCTTGGAACCCCTGTATTTTGCACCTTGGTGACAGCCTTAATGACTTGTTGCTTTTACTTAGTACAACCAACTATCAGTTAAGCACACTATGCAAACTTAGTGACAGTTTTCTAATCTATCTATCTAATGCTAAAGCGTCAGCCTCAAGGCTCTTCAAAGGGAAATTCTAAAGTTTCTGCATAATAAAATCATACATTCAGAGTGGATTGACGTACAATGCACAATTCTGCAGAAACTTACCAAGTCAGAATTATTATTATGACTGTGACATTGTTTTAGAATAATTTGAGATGAAGTTATGGTGTAACATATTTTTCAAATTCATTCATGGTAATGAGGTAGATGCATGGTACTGTAAAGCAAAATAGTTCCCAAATAAAACTTATTTTTCAGATTTACCACTATTTTACTATTATCAACATTACATAGAAAAACTAGAAAACATATAAAAACACAGAAAACATGAGTTCACTCGTCATTTTGAATGGTAAATAAAATGGCTTGTGTTGTAGATATTGTTACCTCTGGTTCCTATCATCACCACTGTAAAATGTCTAAGTTGGTAAGCTTCTCTACAAAGCACCATATCACATCAATGACTCTGAGTGACTTTGATTATATCTCTCTCTGCTGAAATTTTATTCAAAAATTGGTGGAAAGATCGAGGGACATATTATCTTGTCATGGAAAATGTGATCAGGCTTTAGGTTCCAAAGTTTATTTTTTTATTTTACATTTTCACTGAATACTTGTTTGATATATAAAAGCAATTTAATGTTCATAAGATAAGATTCACAGGCCTTACCAGCACCAAAACACCTGCACGCACATACTTCCAGAACATTACCATGACATGGTGATCATTTCAACTGCTATAAATTGTGATCTGCTACTGTGCAAATATTGTAATTACATGTCTGCTCATACGAACAAGAAGCAGGGATGCTGGCTGGCAGAAGCGCAACCTGTCTCCATCAGCTTCTGCTACTGACACGAAATCAATAGTGATTTGATTAGAACGGAAACCTACTGGACCTTCATCGCTGTTTATGTTATTAGTGAGCGCACAGACACGCGATCATTGATTTCGCTGCTCCCCTTCACATATGACAGCAATAATGGAAGAACCTGTCTAGCTAGCAACAGCTCAGCTTGCCAATGTGCTTCATATTCACAGGCAGCAGATCAAGCCTTTTCCTTCAAAATGCGCCTGTCGTCACCGCTTCCCTGCGTTTCTGCCTGGGGTTGGTTGTCTCATAAGCTGTGGAGGCCAGGGCCACCAGCCAAGGGAACCAGCCAGACCGGCAAGCAGCCCAAAGCAGGCCCGCTAGGGACTCAGCCAGGGCTACCAGCATGCTTTTATATTCAAACACAAGCCATGTTCTGACAGTCATCTTCTTTCCAATCAAACATCTGAATGAGATAATCTGTATTTTAAACCCAGAAAGGAAGAAGCATGTGATAGGAAAATCTCAGCAAGACAGCAGCTATGGAAACGGCTTTTAGAAAACAGATGGGATGACTGAATTTAGTCACACTCAGTGATTTTTACATAAGCTTCACTGAATGCAAACAAGGAAATTTCTTCTAGATGCCTTGAGAGATGAAACTTTCTTATTCTAGCATGAGACAATATACAGAGATGCAAAATATGCTTCTTCAAGACGTTTACTAGCCTCATACAGCACACCTTTATGTCAACCCTGATTATTTGACATGCATTAACACTTGATACATCTGCAGCTAATCAAATATGCCAGCCGAGACCAGCATCGTGTACCCTGTAGATGCCAAAGAAATACTTAATGTTCACAAGTGAATGCATGGTGTGCAGCCTATAAGCAGTTTTCAATGAAATCTTTTTCAGGCTTCAAGAAAGTGCGACTTCAACCACTTTGAAAACATGTTTTCTTCCGAGTGCTCTCTTCTGGGATTTTCATTATAAAATACTGATCTGAAGATTGGAGCATTGTAACATCTTCACAACTCATGCCAGCCTCTCCTAGCAAACCAATATCTCCAAATATGAAAATACCTCAAAAGACCTGGTGCAGTATACTGTCAGAGTCTTAGGCACCTAAGCAAATTGTTTAAAACCATTTATCTTGTCAGTAAGTATGTTTTTGCTTTAAGAACACCAAGTAACATTGGAATAAGTACAAACATTGATGCATGCTCCAGCCATCGCACGGATTTTGTTCAATCCTATTACCAGCACACCTGATTTAACTTAATGCAGCAGTGAGTAGTCAAACTAGGTATTGGGTGATTAATACAAACAATACCAGGCTTCCACAAGGAGAGATGGAAATGGTTAAACAAGCACATCAACATTCACCAAATCACTTCTTTTTGTATTAATATTGTTTGTATTCATTTGAATATTCATGTTTTATTAAACACTTAAAGATAATAGCTTTTTAATTTGATTTCAGTTACCTGAAGTCTTTGCACAGTACTGTATGTGTACACACTACCTTTCAAAAGTTTGGAATCAATGTTTTCACTTAACTAAGTCCATGTGTATAAAACAATTGTAATATGCTCTCCCTGTGTACCTTCACAAGTTACAAATAATTGGTAGGACTCCAGGAAGCTACAGAATGATGAACAGAGCTGCAGAGGATAAAAGAAAGAAAACGACAGGGAAAGCCGAGTAGCATCAAGAACTATGTTACGATGAAACTAATATCCAAAACTTTATACAAAAGTTTGAACACTCCCAAATGACACGTTCTGTGGGATTTTCTAAGCGAAAAGTTAACACATCTTCCACAGAAGAAGAACTTAAATTTGCAATTTTTCTGCATATCTTGTCATAAAATCATAAAATATAAAATGTGCCTCATCTTTTGCGCAGGCCTCATTTTATGTTGTAGTTTTTTTTTTTCCAGTATGTTAAATTCAGCACTTCAGTGTATGTTAAATTCAGCACTTCAGTGTATGTTAAATTCAGCACTTTGGTGAGTCTCATACATCTCAAGACAGACTCTCCAAGCAAACTAATATCTCCAAACACCAAAACAGAAAAAAAATGGAAAAAATTTCCATTTTTTGGCATTTGGAGATATTGACTTGTGTGCCACTCACTGAATATTGGATGAATTTTAGGAATGTTACAAAACTCCATCTTTAGATTAGTATTTCACATACAAATCCCAGAGGACAGCAGTGTGAGGAGAGAAGACACATTTTCAAGGTGGTTGAATTCAAACAATTTTGAAGCTTGGAGAAGATTTCAATGAAAACTGTTTATAAGCTGCACACTGTACATTCACTTATAAATATTAAGTATTAACTTGGCATATTGACAGGGTTGATGCTGGTTCTGGCTGGCACATTTTTGAACAACCTAGTCACTTTGTTTTGCTAGATTAGGGAAGGAGGCTAGTAGATATCCTAAAAAGGCAAATATAAACATATACAATATATACACACACAAACAAAGGTTTGCGCTTGCTCATTTTCTTTTAACACATCCTCTACAGAACACACTAAAGCACATTTGCTGAATTCTGAATGTATTATATAGGGAAAACCCGAAATGAGAGTGTGGTAAAATATACATATAAACTGACTACAGCTCTATAATATGGCTGGCCTTTTTGTATTGTTTTTATTGTTTTCGATGCTCGTACCCATTGACTTTGTCATTCACATTTACTGCCAATATGGCTGTAACTGATACGGAGAGGCTGAAG